TTCTTAAATTTTCATTTGTTTTCATCCTTTTTCTTAACAAATTCATTTAATAATATTTTATTATCATTTAATATATTTATTTACACATATTTTTTTGCTTGCTGAAATAATACTTTATTTCTATTTTTTTAATGTCTGTTTAATTTTACAACAACAATATAACTTTAAGTTTAACTTCATTGTGATAGCAGTAGTGCAGTTTAAGCTTACAAAAATTCTTCATTTCATTCTTTTTCATAAAATTAATTATGCTCTGTATTTTTTGTTTAAAATTAATGAAACTTTTTTATTTTTTTCAAAAAAGTTATTAGCTGTATATATCGAATTCTGAATCGTACTGAATTAGTAATATCATTTACCAAAATTCTGCAAATACATTTATATTCTTTTTGAAATTTTAGAAAGCTAAAAGGTAAACAGAAGCAATACAATAAATAATAAAGCTTTGTTAAATGTTAACATTGTTATCAGAATGTTGTATATCTTGACAACTTTGCTGTTAAGTGTTAAGTAATATTTATCAACTGTACAAAACTGATAATTCCATTTCCATCAATGATAATTTTTGCATATTCCATCTCAGATCTTATCTTCCTTTTAATTTTTATATTATTTTTAATGTTGCAAATTTTAATTCAAGTCTTTATATTTTGATAATTTTAACATTTCATTTTAATTTGGACTATTTAGCTATTATTGCAGTATTATTAAGAAATTTTCTTACAAACTTATACAATAATACTATTAGTGATAATTTCATATGATTATATTTTGAATAAAAATATTATAAGATTACTGTGTAATATTTTTGAAGTTATCACAAAAGCAACAAAGCTATTGCCATATTTACTCTAATTTAAACTTATCATTTTTGGTTCAAAATTTAAATTTGAGTTTATTTCGTTTTAATTAAATGGAAATACATGTAATAAGCATATTAGAATGTTTTCATTTCTAATTAATTAATTAATTAATTAATTAACATCTCCTTTCGTTATCAGACCTAAATAATAATAATAATAATAATTTTGTTCACAAATAAAGCGCTCATTTTTTTGTCTTACAAATACGAATTTATAAAATTTGAAAATGCATTTTTTTCCTGCATAATTCATTTTATAGAATTTATAAATTTCTGATCAATGATGTCTGCTGAATATTTTCATCTACGCTTAATTACTATCATTTCATATTTCATTATTATTCATGGCCGTTTCTTGGAAAGTAAGTTACTAACTTTTATGAATAGACAATAATAAAGTAAGTTAAATAAAGTAACTTTAAGCATTTATTTTAATTTTCAATCTAACTTAACCATCGATAGATCTATAAGAAATGTAAATTTCAGTTTAAAATTTCATTTGAATTTATCAACTTTGATTTATATATGCATTTTTCCTTACTAAACAATGCTGCTACAATGTCTAATGAAAAACTGTTGAAATCAGGAACCTCAGAGGCCTTAATGAGTGGTAATTCACTGGAAAACATCAATCCGGAACAGTGCCTGAAGAAAACGATAGAGATAACTTCTAGAAACTATTCGTTTGGTTTTATTGATACTTTCTACGATATTGCACAAAAAATATGTCAAAGCATGCAAACCGAACTTACTGATACTAATGTGCAAGTTGGTAAAGTTATAAGATTTAAAGGTTAAATGAAATAGTTGAAAAGATTAAGCAATAGTAAAAAAGCAAAATAATCTGTTAAATATAATATGAAACATCCAATGATAATAAGAAATGATAATAGTTCAAAAGGTCAAATAGAGCAATGCATCTCAGTGATTCCTTTATTCTTATAATTTTGGAATTATTTAGGTATCTTTCTGTTTTCCTTCTTAACTTCTCTTTTTTCTCTCTTAACTTTATCGCTTACCTTAGCTTATCAACTGCCTTATCAAAACATATATTTTGAATAGTAATATTAAAATAATTAATGATTATAAGCCACTATATCGAAATAATTTAGTGATTATAAAACATTGTATCTGAATAATCTTATAACAATATTCATAAATGTTTATATTTCATTTTTCATCAAAAAAAAATTTTACAATTTCAATTATTAAAAATAAAAATTTAATATTTTGAAGTAATTTAGTTTTTGAAAATGCACTGATTCTATTCTAATAGCACATAATAATATATAATCAAAAAATTTTAATTTTTGCTATAAAATGAACTAATCGAGAAAAGATCTAAATTTTAAGTTTCTTTTTGCAGATATTAAGTAATATTATTACTGCACAAACAACTGATGATATTATACAATCTATTTTTCTTGTTTGGCAGAAACAGGTTAAATTTTGTTAATTTGACATTGTAAAGCAAAATAAGAACAAAATTTAGTTATAATCCAAAATTTCTAAGTATAATTGAAAAGCTCTAACTCTATTCCAGTATTATTATTATTATTATTATTATTATTATTATTATTATTATTATTATTATTATTATTATTATTATTATTATTATTATTATTATTATTATTATTATTATTATTATTACTATTATTATTATTATTATTATTACTATTCTTATTATTATTATTATTATTATTATTATATTATTATTATTATTATTATTATTATTATTATTATTATTATTATTATTATGTAATGATAATCAAAGAATTTAATTTTTTTCATTATATTATAAATTTTGTTTTTTATGCATAACAGATTAATAAAGGAAAATTTCTGTCTTTCTTTAATACATACATCATTCGCCTTTTCGCATAGTTTTTCATTAGAAAAAGCTAACCAAAAGAAAAACTTAGATTAAATTACTTAAACTTACTTAACCTATACTACTACTACATCATCTTGTCGTATCAGTAATGGACTCAAATTGATATTTAAAACAAATTTGAAAAAAAAAAAAGAGGTTTATATAAAATATTTTTCAGTTCTGGGCGTTTTTGTCGCTAGCAGTTGCTTTTGCATTTATCTTTCTTCTACCTATAAGTGGATTTTTCTTCTTTTGTAGTCGATATTGTTATTATGGCAATGCAAAGCGTAAAAATGTTTGTTAGCTGTATAATTTATCTTTTAAGAACAAATCAAAATTTTAATTCTTAAATAATTATTAAATTAAATATTTTGCTAATAATATGTTTTAATAGTAGAAAATAAAATTTTAAAAAATTAGCAATTTTTTAGACTAACTCATTTGAAATGCTTCCTTGTGGTTATTTGGCATTATTAATTGGAATGCAAGCTATTATGATTGGATCATTAACGCTAAGCATAGAAAGTATCGATCATACATTTAGTAATACAAAAAACATTAATAAATTCGTCCAAAATATTACTGAAGGTATTTTACTGAAATAATTTTAATTATTTTTAATTATTAATTATTGAATTAATTATTAAAATTTCATTGAAATAATCAGTGCTATTATGAAAATGTTTCGAAGAATTTCCAATCAAAGCAATTGTAATAATTAATTTAACAAATTAAAATGTATTGTGTACTTGGCTTAATTATGTTTATTATTTTCTATGGCACATTTCTTCATTTAATAACAATTTCAAAATTTAAAAATTTTTCTTTTTCATTCATTAATAAAGGAGAAGAAAAAAATTTTAATTTATTAAATATTATAATTATTATTCTTTTCTTAATCATCTAACAGTTAAAGAATGTAAAATTTCAGTACAAATAATTGTAAATATATTGATATCAAGTGCGACAATTAATTAATTATATAATTAAAAATTTTTTAAAATTAATTCTTTGCTTTTTAGATGTCATAAATGTAACAGAAATTATTTTTGATCATGTAAAATGTGAAATGGATATGAAATTACCAAAATTATTCAATAAAATGAAACGTGTTGTACGGCGATTGCCAAGCAATGCATTTAATCATTATAAAGAGAGTGACGGATACATAAATATGCAATTGGTATATTTTGTTAATTTAATTTCAATTTTAATTATCACAAATTTGCAGTAAATATTGTTTTAATATAAATATGTTAGATCTATTCTCTTATCAGTGTCAGTCAGATTTTATAATTTAACTTTATCAGATTTATCATTTTTAATTTAGCGCTGTATGGCTTACAAAGACAATTTAGTTCTAAATAGATTGGCTGATATAAGATAGTAAAGTTTATTCTCAATCAATTAAAATTTAAAGTAAAAATTTTTCAAGGCAATCAATAATTTAAAAAATATAAGTTGGACATTAAATATAACTGCTAAATATTTGGAAAAAATTATATGTGATATTCGCAGTTTACCGTTACCTTTGCAAAAAAAATTATCGAATTTAACAATGCTGATTAATGATATTATCAGTCATGGTTATCAAATAACTAGGGTTAGCATTTTTCTCATATTATAATTCAAGTTGTATTATCTATTCATCCATATGTTTCAGTTATCTTTTATCACTTTTATCTGCCTACTAAATATCAGCTCTATCACTTTACATTACTTTCTTATCACTTAGATGAATCAGTTTACTTCAATCAATTTCAAAATTTTTCATTTTATTAAAAAAAAAATTTTTTTCTTTCAAAGCATTTTGTTTAATCTTATAATAATTAATTTTTGATCAAATTAAGCACTACAACAATGTACAACAAATGAATAATACATGGAATAGCCTCGATGATTTATTGTTTAACAGCAACGAAATGGTACTTATCATATTGCTTTCTAATTATTTCCTATCAAATTTCTACTGATAATAAGTTAATTAATTAATATTACTTGAAATACACACTTTTACTAAAGTGTGTATGCAATAATCATTATTTTACTGATTAAATTATGAAAAAAGATAATGATCAATAAGTAATTCAGTAACTGATATTCTTTATCATTTATCATTTTGCCTTACTGATTGCAACAGATTTGAAAAAGAAAAAATTATTATCATTGCTGATGACTTGTTTACTTGGATTTGTAATTACCTTAGAAAACATCTTGGAAAGCACCGATACATTAATCGATGATGTTAGAAGAGAAGCGATCAAAATGGTTGCAATAATTTATAATGGAAGTGTTAATATTATTAAATTCATCCAGAAGAGTAATCAGAAAATGGACAATATTCATAAGCAATATATCGAAGTAAAAAATTTATTTCAATATATTTTTATAAATTTAAAAAAAAACAATCTTAGATCTTTTTAAGAGTGTTATTTTTTTTTAGAATTATGTCTAAATTTTATTCAGTAATACAAATGCTTAAATATTTTGTGATTTAATTTAATTTTAATTTTTGGATTATAATTAGTGAGTTAATTATAAAATTTATTTTAGTCTCGAGAATTTGATCAATTAGTAAATGTGTTATATGCTGTAATAGCGATATCTGCTTTATGTGTTATTACTCCAACTATTATTGTTGTATTTTCTGGAATAACAAAATTATATGCAAAGTAAATTTTCCCTTTAATTTCTAATTAAATTATTTTATCATTCATTTAAAATATTAAATGCTGTTGGAAATATCATTAATTTTTAGCAACTATTAAAGAAATGGTCATATGATTTTAATTATCAAAAAAAAAAAAAATTTTGGAATGCAAACATTACTTTTATTATTGGTTCATTATAATATAATTAAAGTCATAAATATTTTTTTAAAAAATGAATTATTCGATTTGTTTGAAAAAAATAAGTGTTTTTTGATAGCTCAAATCAATTCCAATATATTTTTTTTATATTTTTAATGCACTAAATATCTTTTATTTTTTATTTTTTGAAAAATGAAAGGAAATAAAATAGCAAAGAATGAGAAATTATTACAAAAGCAATTTAAAATACAACGTTCTATTTCAAGAATTTCTAAACTTACTTAAATTTACATTCATACATTAAAATGTTTTTTTAAAAAAATAATTCTAACGTTTACCTTCTAATTTCATTTTTTAATCTTAAAATTTCAGTAATAAATCTTCATCAAAATGTTCAAAAGTTTTCTTCAATTCGGGGCGCTATTGTGGTCTATTCGGTCTTGCCGGAGCGTTCTTTACCGGATGGATTATAATGCTTGTTGCTAGGTAATTTCTTCGCTTTTTTTTTTTTTTGCAAAACTTTTAAATTTACAATTTAATTCATTTTCAAGATTATCTTCTATTGATCGTATCGTTATTCTTCCAGTTATTATGATCTTTGTTCTCTAATTGTTCAACCATTAATTATTAGAAATAATAGAAAGTTTTTTTTTTCTTTTTATTGAGGAAAATATAAATTTTAAAGAGTAAAAATGAAAAAATGCTCATTAATGCATCATCAGGTGCCTTTAATTTTTAGCATTTCTAATATTTTTTATATTTGCTAATTTAAATTTATAAAAATATCTTTGAAATATCTTATAAATATCGCTTCAAATCTTTTTAAGCTTACTTAAATTTTGATTCATATTTTGAAAATCACTTTTTAAAAGATAATTTCAAGGCTTTTTCATTTCATTTTTTTAATCTTAAAATTTCAACAATAAATCATCAAAGTGGCCAAAAGTTTTCTTCTTCAAAAGTTAGAGAGCTATTATATTCCCTTTTCATAAAGAGAGAAAATATTTTCTTAGCGAAACTTTTTTTTTTCAGTTTTTTGAATAATTCATTTTCAGTCTAAGTTTTATTTGTGGATACAGTATAGAAGCACTTTCTAATCCATTATTTCGCGATTCTGAAATGCGTTTCTTCACCACATCACCGCTATTTCAATTTACTATACAAAATCCTATTGACAAAAAAAATTTTACGACAGATATTAGGTAATTATTAAATTGGAAATTTTCAAAATATGAAATATTAAATCTCGTGAAAAGCTAATTTGCAGGTGTTTCTCGCAAAGAAATTCTCATAATAATCTTTCCGTTAATGATGAGACATTGATTAGTTGGAAAATTTTAAATATCAATCAAAGAAATTTGAATAAAATTAAATTTTAGCTGAAGAAAGTGCACTTACTGTTAAATGTAAAAGATAGTATCAATTTTCAATTTTTTTTTTTTTTTTTTATTTGAGAATTTTTCTGAAATCTCAAATTTTGTATTATTTTTCTCATAAAATATGAAATATGTAATGAATTAGTTTCAGTAATATTATAAAGTATTGCAAAGAAAATGAAACCATTCTGTCGGCGTTAGAATTTGAAAGATTAATTAATATCGATGCAATTATAAGGGAAATAGATATTGAAGAAAAGGGAGAAAAAGCAATTGATGCACTTAAAAATGTAAATTTGAAGCAATATTTTCCGGAACAGTTTTTTAATGAATTTACGGTGAGTTAGCATTTTCATTCAATTTCTAAAATATTCTTTCTCATTTTCCCATTAAATTTTTTCATTAATATAAATTGGAAAGAAATGAAGTAGAATAAAAATGGTCAGCTTAATAAGTTATACAGTAGAGTAAATCACATAATATTCTTATTAAAAACGGAATTATTTTTCGGATCACCAGTACAGAAATTTATTTATGATTAGAAATGGTCTTATCTTCCGGAAATGTTTCGTGGATAACAAATGTTATTAAACATAAAAATATTAAAAGTATCATTTCAGGAAGATTTTGAACAATTAGAGAATATGAATACTGAATTACATAATTTTATCATTTCGGATGATATCACAGCATTAAATGAATCATTACGTGATAATTTGAGTTATATGAATAAAAACATATCAAATTTAGTCGAAGTTATGAAGTAAGCATAATTTCAAATCATACTGATTAGTAAATGATAAGCTGAAGTGCTATTAGGAAGTATAATAAATAACTAACCATTACTGAATAGTTTTCTGGATTAAGTTTTTCTTTTCCTGTTTCTTTCATATATCACAGATTAGTAATCTACCGGAAAATTTGAATAATAATTGAAAGCTATCAATCTTTAAAAAAATAAATTTTTTTTTCTTTTTGGTATTTCTGTGTAGCATTTTCTGCTTAACTTATTTATAAAACTATTCTGAGCTATTTCTGACATTTTTTTAAAATTATTCAACAATTTTAACTTAATTTTAACTTTGTTATTCATTTATTAATAAATAAGTTTTGCAAGGCTAAAAATTGGATGTAAAAGTTATTATTTTTACTTTCAACCATTAAAATTACTTAATTTTAGTTACACCGTTATTATTACTCAGCAACTAATTGAACAATACTTATATTCGAATGAAATAATTAATGATAGTGCTCAAATAATTGAAAAAGAATGCAGCAATATAGTTGCTAATATCAAGGAATATATTTATAATAGTACGGTAAGGTTGTTTTTGTTTTGAGAAATTTAACAAATTCGATAAGAAAACTATGAAAGAAGGAAACAACAACAACAACAAATGATTTTGAATTTAATTAGCATAAAAGTAAATAATAAATTAGATAAATATACAAAATAATTTCGTTGTAGAAATAGCAATGCAATAAAAATATGTTAAAAAAAGAGCAAAAAAAAAAAAGTAAGCAAATATTTTAAGAAAGAATTTTAAATAAACCATTTCATTCTTTGATATCTTGAAATTTTTATAGGAATATTTTCGAAAAAATTCATATATCTGTCGTCCTTTTTATGATATTTGGGAAAATACCGGTTTAGCGGTGAGTCAAAAATTAAGTCGACCAGTTCAAGGTATTTGGATGTCAACTAGTGTCTTATCGCTATCTTATGTTCCAGTTATTATTCTTACAGCACTCATTATCAGATATCTTGCTAGGACGAATAGAAAATATGATTTTAAAGAAGTTAGTTTTCCTGTTACTTTCATTTTAAAATTTTATAAATTTCCTTTATCTGTAAAAAATTTGCTTTCCTTTATCAAATTATCATACACCTATGAATTATCACTTCCTATTGTAAAATTTAGTTGTTAAATTGAAATCTTAAGCTTTTGAAGTTTAAAATAAATTCTATTATATTTTATATTGAATGTAAAATTTCAAATTATATGCATAAATTCTATATCTGAAATCCAAACATTGAAAAAAAAAGAGTAAAATTAAAATTTGATCTATAAAAGACGAGAAATGAAATAGAAATAAACGAACCAATTAATTGCTATAAACTATTTTACAAATTGAAAAAGAAAAAAAGGATTTTCTTCAAAAAAAAAAAAATTTATTCTATCCAAATAATTATAAAATTCATAACATTTTTTTCAAAAAAAAAAAAAAAAAAAAGAGAAAGCAAAAGAAATCTTCCAGAATTCATCCGAAAATGCTATCGCAATGAGTACAACAACAGATGCTTATCAATAAATGTTTAAAAGGTGTGAATTGATAATATTCCCAAATCTTATCATCTTTTTAGCAATAATTTGCATGCTATTACTTGTTACTTACTTACTTACTTACTTACTTACTTACCTATGTAAAAATCATTCCTTTCTGCACATGCATTTTCGTTTCTTTTCTATTCTTTTCAATTCCCTTCTACAATATTTTAGAGAAATTATAAGAAAAAATTAATTGATTAATCTATTTTAAAGTATGAATTATTTTTTGTTTTTAGATTGCTACAAATGCATGCATAAAATTATAATTTATATTTTTCTGTAATAGTATAGAATTCAACTACGATATGTTTCAAATATTTTATGAATTTTCTTCTTTTAAATCGTTTTTTTTCCAAAATCTTTTAATTCAAATACTACAACATTTTATCTTTTTTCTTTATTTGTTTTTCATATTAAACAAAGAAAAAATAAGCACTCAATACGCGAAAATTTAGTTTTTTTTTCAATATTGCATCCATCCAAAATGTTAATTTTAATAAAAAAATTTCCTCAAAATTTCAAAAGTTAAAGTCAAACATTTTTAGTTTAGTTTCAATCTTAATTTAATATCAATAGCACAACTATTTAATGAGATATCAAATAGTTTACATTTTCTGTTTAACTAATTGAATTGATTATACTAAATTATTATCTCAAAGAATATGAAACAGAATTTGCATCAAAGAAATTTCATTGCTTTAATTGTTATCCGTCTCTTGGCAAAATTAATTTCTATCTTTTAGTGATCAAGAAGAAATGATATTTAACTGAATTTTTCAAAGGAAACTTTTAATATTTTAAACATTTATATTTTATTATTTCAAAACAAATTCTTATTAAAATAACAAAAACAATTATCAGTCAAATGTGATAACATTAATAATAATAATAATAATAATAATAATAAAGAATTTATTAATTTTTGGAAGAAATTTTTTACTTATTTTCCAATTTAACTAAGCATAGCATTGCTATTTTATCTAAATAAATATTTCTTTGATAATTTTGCTAAATTTTTGATTAGAAATTCAACTTTACCAACATTCTCTTAACCTGCAGCAATCGAGAACTGACACATTCTATGGCACTATTTATGCTTACGATGCAAATTCAAGAAGTTCCACGTCTACTTTAATTTCCAATCGAAGTGCTAATAGCGGTAAAATATGGCGCAAATTATTTAGAGGAAAACAAATTGTCCCAATGACCGAACAGTCGATGATGACTCATCCCAATATCTATGCTTACGATTTATGTGATAGATGAAGTGACGATGGTCAGTAATGAACTAATTTTCACATTTGTCATTTTCACCTGTACACTTTTACCTTCCTTTGTTCCACCTTCTTACTTGCATGATATTTCAAACAAACAAACAAATATTGTAGTTTTCATTAGGAAATACTTCCTTTGTTGACAATAAAATTCACAGGTAATAATTAACCTTTGTCATGATATTCATTTATATAGCATCACATATTGTCACCCTTTTTCTTTTTGTTTTGCTTTTTTGCTTTGTGCTATTTTTCAAAAATTCTTATTGGTTTGACACACACATACACACACATCACTGAGTTTAAAGTATTTTATGTTTTCAAATCTTAATTCTACAATAATTTTAAAATATTTAAACCATTAACCATTCAATAATTTTTTTACAATTATTTTACTGGGATTTCATTTGTTTGCAAGATTTTTTTTCTTTTTTTTTGCTATATCTAATGATGTAATTGGATTCGAGCGCAGTTTTTAAAAGATACTTTTCGGCACAGTCATATCATTCATTTAGTATCACCGCAACAATTCTCATTACGTCTTATGATAGTATATTAATGATAATGATGATAATGATAATGATGATAATAACAATGATTGATGATACTTGATGAGGACGAGTGATGGATAAATGTAAATGATTTTTCAGTTTACTCAATCTCGACAGTGTTGTTTTCATTATCGATGATCAAATCTTCAGGTTATTACGAGATGCAATGTTATCTCAGGTTATTTTATCATACTCACATTAATATGATAATACATCTCTGTTGAGACTCAGTAAACTGATTTAAGTATTTATTAAAAAATAGTTATTAGATGTTTTGTTTTGGTTATTCAATATTGTTTCAAAACAGTATTTAAATCTAAATCTATGCAAGATGGATTTTTTCTTTTGATTGTTATAATCAAATATTTTTTTCAAATGTTTATTTGATTCATTATTTTGTATAAATAATGGCTATATACTGTACCTGAAAATTTCCACATCTTTTATACTTTAATTTATACTCAATCTTTATTAGTTACAAAGAGATTGGGAATAAACCATGAAATTAGTCTTTTTATTTTTTATTATTTCTGCATCCTTTTTAGGCAGTTATCCTTTATCATTTATAATGAAATCACATGAGCAAGAGATAGAGTATATCTGAACTACAATCCATTACTTAACTTTATCATTGAAAAATTTGTGTAATTGTAATGATCCTGTATTATCAACATTATTATGTTAAGATATTGCTTAAATGTCATATAATATTCAAATTAGACAAATCTTGCATCAATAGAATTGATGATTAGTAAAGAAACCTCCTTCCTTTGTTTTTATTTATCTATTTCTCTGCACTATATCATTGTATTTTAAACATTATATGCTGTAAATATGTTGGGAACATCTATGCAAACAAAATATCTATGCAAATAAAATATCTATGCAAACATTTCTGTAACATTTTTATTGAATAAGAAATTAGCTTCCCAGTGTTTTATTGTATCAACGATTTATCGCTTCAAATATTCCAACTACAATAACTATTTCATCTAATGTATTATTTGTCCAATAACTGACTGCTATTATTATGTAGCGATGAAGACTAAACTACTGCCCTAGCAAACGTTGGGATGAAATCTTTACAAGAGTGAGGATTAACGGACAAGATGGAATGAACAATTCAGTTAATGCTTCAACTCCTTTTAAAAAATTCGATTTATAACATTCTGAAATGCAATCATTCACTACCGAAAAACCATACTTTTTTTCTTTGTATTTTAACTCTTTTACATTCGTAAAAAGATCAATTTTATTTCGAAGTATTAAACAACACAACAAAGAAGTCAAATTTTTAAAGTTTTCAAAGAGAAAACAAAGGCATTTTGCAGATGTAATCAAATGAAAGTCCTTTAAAAAATACATTATCAATCCCACAATTTTCTCATTTTGCTGAATGCATTTTCAAAGTTTGTTAAATTTTAAAATATGTCGGAGAACTCATAAATTATCAACATATTTCGCAAAAAATTCAAAAAGATATATGATGTGAGGTAATATTGGACTTCAGTCTATAAAATGATAGATCAAGCCAAAAGGAGGTAGAAAATTGACCAAATTCCATGCTAGATGTTCTTGAACAAACTTCACAGAACACCGCACAGCTTTGCTAATTGCTTTATCCAAAAGGTTCTAAAACGCTTCCCTGTAGTCTGAAAGCTTCAACGGAATATTTGCGAAACAAAGGAAATCCACCTCAAATCATGAACTAAGGACAATCTTCTGCCTATTTATTGGCATTTCCATGCCCTCATTAAGTAACTTATTATGCTTATAAGTAACAAGCTTGAGATCATATGGTTTCATTGCGTCACTACCAACAAATGTAAAATTAATTTTTAAAAACTGAACTGCATGATAGTTAGAAAAAGATATATGTAAAAAGAGAGGAAAAGAATTCAACGCAGAGCAGTGATTAGTTAGTTATTTTAGCGCTGCCTTCGACGTCTCCCAGCGCGACGCGGTCGATCACCGTTCAACGGGTTCCTATCCGGTGGACGATAGGATGCTTGCTGTGATGCTGTAGCCGGAGCACCGTAGCCAAGCGATATCGAGCAAGTACAACTATCATTGTCCGGTGCTCCTCGATTATAACAGCACAAGTCATCGTACTCATGTCTTCCCTGTCTGCAAACTACTAAGAATAAGATATGAAACAATAAAAACAAACAAGATGCAACGATTTCTGTTACATCCTCGGTGCAATTGCATGACAACCTTGTTTTCTCCAGTTTCATTTCATAACAGAATAAGTAGTGAACGGTAGAATCATTTTGCCTTCCTCATTATAAGCATTTGAAGCTTAATTATTGCTATCCATTGCGGAGCTAATTTTCATCTTTATCTCAGTCAATTTAGCACGTAGTGTCACATTTCCCATTCACTAAAAATCTACAGAATATTTATATAGCGTTGTTTTTGAATCTGACCGACATCTATTGCTTTCTCGTTCGAAGTACTAAGTTTGAAAACTTGAAAGAAATATACCCAGTTTTAGTCTGTCTCGACGGGTTTTTATTTATTGATGGCCCGGTCGTTGTCACTAAACGATATTGCACCAAATGACTGTTAGCTTTCATATGTTTCAAGTGATTACTCTGAAAGAGAATGTCATAAAGATAACACAGTACACCATTTAAATTATCAGAATTGTTGCAAATCGATCTTTAGATCAATAAATAAAAGTCATGGCTGCTCTAAATCTTCTACTGAACTAGACTTTCTATTCCACTCAGCATAACCATTATGAAAAAGTCGTTATAACCAAAAAAAAACAACAAAAAAAAAACCTATTCAAGTTTTTAAGAAAATATTTGGGACAAAAATTCCTTGTTTATTTGACATTTAAGAGTTAAAGAATTGAAAAAAGGAATACCGGACAAGTAGCCCACTGAGTAATATCATAGATTACGCCATCCAAACATGCATAGTAGATCCAAATAAAGCCACCGAAACGAGTTTCTGCCCAAATATCATTCTGAAATATATTTTTATAAACATGATGACCCCACACATATTCTCAGAAACAAACACAAATAATAACCAGAGCTATAAACATGATGGGCCATATCTAAGGTTCCATATTTTGAGTGCACTTCAGCACAATCATACAGTTAAAAACGGTATCATATTACAACTTGCTTTAATTTACCCATCAA